CAATACTTGTTTCGTAAAATTAGTAAATGGATCCAATGATGCATCGTAACCACGTGAATACCGATCAATAGGATCATCTGTTCCGCGTGTTGTCTATAAAAATACAATACAATTATATTATTCTAAGAGGAATCTCTTAACTATCATATTAATAGTGTTTCTGATTTTCAATCATCTTATCATTTAGAAAGATTCTCTCTAACACTATTCATTAGTATGTTATACAGGGACGTCCGCAGAGGTGGGATCGATCCCCCCTCCCCGCAAAAAACTGAAATACCTGGAGGGGAGTACAAGTCGAACAATTTTCAGAGATTTGAAATAACCTTTTTCTACGATGGACTTTTCTGCAAAGTCGTCAACCCCCCCCCAAAAAAATTTCTGCGGGCGTGTCTGATGTTATATCATTTAATTAAAATGAGATTTCAATCAATTTTAGTGGATAAAAGTTTTTTTTACTGAATACATACAGGATAATTTTGAACGAATTTAATTTTTTTCATATAATTTTATATTGTCCGATCGAAGTTTATCCATTTCATTTTGAAATATATTCGTTTGTTGTTTTAATGAAACATTTTCCTAAATACAAAAAAAAAGATTTTTCTTATAGAAAAAAAAAATCGATTTATTTGAATTACGTTCTCTAATTCAACATTACGAATACGACATCGTTCACGTTGACTAATAACAATAGCAGTTAATGCTTCATCCGATGTTGTATCACGTGATGAAACATGTGAAAATGAATTCTTAAATGATGCTGGAGATGTAGATGATTGATTTAATACATCTTCAATTATTATAGTTTCATTTGAATTACTATCACTTGTTTGTCCCTAAATAAAATACATCGAAATTTATAAAAAAAAACAAAACAATCCACTTCAGGTTCTCGTCGAAATAATTCAGTAACACCACCAACACTTAATAGATCTTTTTCGAGTTGAATATTCAATTGTTTTAATTCATTATTTGCATTTTCAAAATCTCGACAACGTTTATCAAGTTCATGAAATCGTTCTAAGTAAATGAAAAACATTCATTTTATTTTTCACACATACGAAAAAAAATTGAGGGTAAAAAAAAAGAAAATCTTATTATCACCATATACGATATTCTTCTTTCTTTCTTTCTTTTCTCTCTCTGTCCTTGAACCTGAAATAAATAAATCGAAAGCATATTCAATATTATACAAAAAAGACAAATAGAAAAATTTTATTAATATTCGAACAAAAAAAAACATCATAATTCACACATATTAAATTTCTTTCGCAAAATTTTTTTTGTTAAATACAATAAAAACGGTGGAATGTTAGTAAATCATTTGATATTTAGTATTCTTTTGTTAGATGTATATACTGTATTCTTTCTCATTTATTGCACGCGCACACAACATCGAAATATAAACAAAAATTATAATCTGTTCAAATAAAAAACAAAAAAAGAAAAAGAACTGAAGAAAAGAAAACGAAACAACCATATATCACGCCATTCTCTTTGTTTGTACTTTTTTTTAATGCACTTGTTAAAGCAGCTGGGTTTGTTCACGACTAGTTTTAATACTTGAGCGATACTCACAAATATATATATAATAGAACAAAACGAACAATAACAACAACAAAAAATGTTGAGCATTAAAAAGAAAAAAGAAAAAGAAAATTACAAAATCACCAATTGGTTTTTTTTCTAATATGACCTTGGCTAAATAAAAATACATTTCTTTTTGTCAAGTATTAGTATCAACAGAATTTGTTGATTCATTTGTTGTTTGATTTGATAGTATTGTGTCATTATAATTATCATTCTCAGT